GGAGAATCACTTGAACTCAGGAGGCAGAGGCTGAAGTGAGCAGAGATCGTGCCATTGCACTCCAGTCTGGGCAATGAGAACAGGACTCCATCTCTAAAGAAAAAATAAAAGAAAATAGAAGTTCAGACAATAGTATAAATCATGTCAGTATTGGAAGTGATGGTTGATGCTTGGACAAGTGGGTTTGTGCCAAGTTTGGAGGCATGTTAGGCCAATGACAGGAATGTGGACTTTCTTCTGAACAACAGGGAACCACACAAAATCCCTTTCCTAACCCAGCAACTGTTCTGATTATGTAAAACAATTCTCATATCTTTTACAAAACTACTTCTTGCATTTAGTATATTGAATTCAAATTATGTGTTTAATTTATCTGAACAAGTGCCTGAATGAATGGATATGAATGAAATAAATGTAAATCTAAACAAATTTACAAATGATGAAATGAAATACTTCAGCGTACATGTGAAGTATTTCCTTTCCCTGGCAGAAAAGGAGTATATTTCAAGAAGAATCCCTTAAAAAACAAGTATCATAGGCCAGGCGCAGCGGCGCACACCTGTAATCCCATCACTTTGGGAGGCCAAGGCAGTTAGATCACCTGAGGTCAGGAGTTCGAGACCAGCCTGGCCAACATGGTGAAACCCCATCTCTACTAAAATACAAAAATTAGCATGGTGGCACACATGTGGCCTGTAGTCCCAGCTAGTCAGGAGGCTGAGGCAGGAGAATTACTCAAACCCGGGAAGTGGAGGTTGCAGTGAGCCAAGATCACACCACTGCACTCCAGCCTGGGTGACAGAAAGAGACTCCATCTGAAAAAAAAAGGAAAAAAGGGGGGAAAAAATCAAGTTTTATATAGTAGCAGAGATTTTTGTTAAGCACCCACTCTTTTTTCAGCATCTACAGTCTTTTGGAGTATAAGGAGAGTTTTCCTTTTTTATAACCAAATTTTTGCTATAAGCAATATTTCATAGTTTACAGAAGTTCTTTTTATAGAAGTTGAAGTGATTTTCCACAAACATGTTTGTAGATTATTTTTTCTTTACTTGCTTTTAAGTTTGTACTTCTAGATACATTTTAAAATGTAACAAATCGATATACAAGTTATAAAGAATAATATGATGGCCATGCTTGAACCCAATTATCAATCAATTATATTGGTTATGTCTATTATATTTGTTATATTACCAAGAACTGCTTTGACCTCATCTCTCATCTTCCTGCTACTGCCCCCAGAGGTAACCATGACCTGACCTTAAATTATGTCACTTTCTGGCCTTAATCCTTCTTGTTCCCCTGTTCCTTACAGTCATTTCACACTTTTAAAATTTTTTTCCTTTTATGCGAGGATATTCTATTGTCTTGATTTTCAATTTCCTTAGTAAGTATATCTTAAATTTACTCTATTCATTTTTGTATTGCATAGGATAATAGCTGGTACATAGTTGGTGCTCAGTGATTACCTGTGAAATAAATTAATTTTTCTTAACATAGGGCAGGGATACTTGGAGAGGAAAGGGCCTAGGGAGAGTTTCCTATTTCTTAACCACACCATGGAGAGTTTTGGATAGAGACAAATAGAGAAAGTTACCTTCAGAGGAGCTATTGCACCAAAAAAAATGTAACAGCACTCTTAACATTTTGGCATTGACCCTTATAGTCACTCTTTTTTCCTAAAACTATATAGTGTGTGTGTGCGTGTGAATGTGTGTGTGTGTGATGTCACATAAATAAGAATACGCTATTTGGCAACTTGGATTTACCCTATACAATGCAATGAGCATATTTTATGTCGTTTATCTTTTTTAAAAGCATTATTTTTAACAGCTGCATAATATTCCATTAGGGATAAAACCTAGTTTTAGGCAAAGTCTAACTCTTCAACATTAATATTTCCAGTTTTTAGCCACAGTAAACAAAAATATGGACAATATTAACATAAAATTAGAAGTTAGAATCAGTAAGATGTATATTTTTAAGTATTTGCATAAAAGAAAAGGGAATACTCTGGAATGGGGACTAGATTTCAAAGTTGGATGAGTAAGTGAAGCTAGGTAGTGTATCATAAGGTCTGTTTTAGTTGCGCTGAGTTTGATATGCCTGTGAAATACTTATTTCGTGTACTATTTAGAAGCTTAATCACCATAATTTTTGATATTGACTGAATTGCCTGTCCCCAGCCCACAATTCAAACGTTGAAGTCCAATACCGAGTACTTGAAAATGTGACTTTATTTGGAGATAAGGTCTTTAAAGGTGTAAAATGAGGTTTTAGGGGTGGGTACTAATCTAATCTGACTACTGTCCTTATAAGATTATATTAAAAAACAAACCACACACACAGAGGAAAGACCAGAGAGGGGAAACCCCAAGGAGAGTGGCCCAAGAAAAAATCAATCGTGCTCACTGGGTTGATCTTGAACTTGCAGCCTTCAGAATTGTGACAAAATTAATTTTTTTACGCCACACAGTCTTGGTAGTTTGTTGTGGAAGCCCTAGCAAACACACTTCTCAAATATTTTCATTCTAGGATTACTTTTCTCCACACCTTTTCTATGTTATGCCAGCTTTTGTACTCCACAAAGACAAACACACAGAACACAGAAGCACATCCACCCCTAGTGTGTGTTGTAGGGGAGGAAAGAGTGTTTCCTTTTACCCATCTTATGTTCATTGGCTGGGGCCCTGAAACAAAATACAGATTAACAAGAGAAAAACATACACATTTATTTTTTAAATTTATTTATTTGTTTATTTTTTGAGACGGAGTCTTGCTCTGTCGCCCAGGCTGGAGTGCAGTGGCGCGATCTTGGCTCACAGCAAGCTCCACCTCCCAGGTTCACGCCATTCTCCAGCATCAGCCTCCGGAGTAGCTGGGACTACAGGCGCCTGCCACCATTCCCCGCTAATTTTTTTTGTATTTTCAGTAGAGACGGGGTTTCACCTTGTTAGCCAGGATGATCTCAATCCCCTGACCTTGTGATCCGTCCGCCTCGGCCTCCCAAAGTGCTGGGATTACAGGCGTGAGCCACGGCGCCTGGCCAAGAGAAAAACATATACATTTAATATAAAGTTTTACATGACATAAGGAAATAAAGACCTGAAGAAGGGGTTAAACCTGAGTGTTTTTGCACTAGGTTTGATGAAGAGTAGAGAGTCATGCGGAAATATAACGAGACAAAAATAATATGAGCCAAGGATAATAAACAAGGAGAAATCGAGCAATGTCTATTTGTTCCGATTCCTCTCATACTCTGCAAGACTCACAGGAAGGTCTTAAGACCTGCTTCAGAGGAAAGTCATAAGAACATTCCTGTCTATGTTGTTCTACTAATTTCTTAGAATGTTCAGTGTCAAGGCACCATACTTTGGAGTGCTATGTTGTCGTTTTCAGAAACCTGAGGTTGCTCATGGAGTACTATGGAGTAGCGACCTTTTTTTTTTTTTTTTTGGTCCCATTTTAGAAATTTGATTAATGAGTATAAACTAATGGTTTCTGTGTTTGAGACGGAGTCTCCCTCTGTTGCCCAGGCTGCAGTGAAATGGCGCGATCTTCTCACTGCAACCTCCGCTTCCCGGGTTCAAGCGATTCTCCTGCCTCAGTCTCCGTAGTAGCTGGGGTTACAAGCATGCGCCACCACACCCGGCTAATTTTGTATTTTTAGTAGACACGGGGTTTCACCATGTGGGTCAGGCTGTTTTTGAACCCCTGACCTCAAGTGATCCACCAGGCTCGCCTCCCGGGTTCAAAGGTATATGTATGTATATTTATATATATATATATATTATATATAGTATATATATTTATATATGTATATATTTATATGTATATATTTTTATATATGTATATATTTATATTTATATACACAGAGTCTAGCTCTGTCGCCCAGGATGGAGTGCAGTGGCGCGATCTCGGCTCACTGCAACCTCCGCCTCGCGGGTTCAAGGGATTCTCCAGCCTCAGCCTCCGGAGTAGCTGTAAGTACAGGCAAGTGCCACCACGCCCGACTAATTTTGTTTGTATTTTTTTGGTAGAGACGGGGTTTCAATGTTAGCCAGGATGGTCTCGATCTCCTGACCTCGTGATTCGCCCACCTCGGCCTCCCAAAGTGCTGGGATTACGGGCGTGAGCCACCGCACCCGGCCCAAAACGAGATTTTTAGCTCAACTTTACATTGCCAATGCCCATGGTAGTCCCTCCACAACAAACTCCACAACAGAATGCTCAGAAGAGTCAAACTTGTCAGGTGATCTTCAGGGACCCAAAGACTACTGTTCCTACCCCTACCAGTGTCGCCCAGGCTGGAATTGCAGTGGCGTGATCACATCTTCCTGCAGCCTGTAGCTCCAGTTAAAGCTATGCTACGTCCTCAGCCTACCGAGTAAGTGATAGTACAGACGCAACGAGTCACAACCGGTTAGTTTCATTTTTTGCAGAGATGAGTTCTCAGTATATTACCCAGGTAAACCTGTTAACTCCTGAGCTGAATCGAGCCTCATGCATCGGCCTCCCAAACTGCTAGGATTACAGGATCTTGCCAACACAGAATACGTGTATCTCGTGCTTTTTTATTTTTTTTGTTTATTTATTTTTTTTTTTTTTTGAGACGAAGCCTCGCCCTTATCGCCCAGGCTGGAATGCAAAGGCGCCATCTCATTTCACTGCAACCTCCGCCTTCCGGGTTCAAGATGCTCCTGCCCCAGCCTCTCAAGTAGCTGGGATTACAGACAACTGCCCCACGCCCGGCAAATTGTTTGCATTTTTAGTAGAGACGGGATTTAGCCATGTTAGGTAAGCTAGTCTAGATCCGCACACGCCTCGGGCTCCCAAAGTGCTGGAACTACAAAATTGGAAAAATTATTCCCTAGAAAACGGTGATACTCAGCATTAAAGCTCTTTATGTGAGACTTGAGTGGCTCTGAAAAGAGCCTTTGAGTTCTAAAGTGACTAAGCACACATTTACTTGGAGCTTGTATACTTGGTGACAGCCTTAGTACCTTCGGACACTGCGTGCTTGGCCAGCTCTCCGGGAAGCAGCAGTCGCACGGCCGTCTGGATCTCCCTGGAGGTGATGGTGGAGCGCTTGTTGTAGTGCGCCAGGCGGGAAGCCTCGCCGGCGATGCGCTCGAAGATGTCGTTTACAAAGGAATTCATGATGCCCATGGCTTTCGATGAGATGCCGGTATCGGGGTGAACCTGTTTCAGCACCTTGTACACGTATACGGAGTAGCTCTCCTTACGGCTGCGCTTGCGCTTCTTGCCATCCTTCTTTTGCGCCTTGGTCACAGCCTTCTTGGAGCCCTTCTTCGGAGCAGGAGCTGACTTAGCTGGCTCAGGCATATTGTCAGAAAATAAGAACAACAGTAAGGATGAAAGCACTTAAATAACAGCTCGTGTCTAGAGTCTCTCCTTTTATACGTCTTTTATGCAAATAAAGAATTCAAATTATTCAGCACTGATTGGGCAATGTGTTAGTGACGCATACATGTAAAATAGCTTTCACCTTATTTCCTTTCTAATTGGTTGTTTCGTCAAAGAATAATTTTAACCAATCAAACTGCGCCTTTTACAATTCTACCGACGACTATAACTAGCTTCTTATTCCTCCATCGAGCACATTCTTTTTCTTTATCCTGTTGGTTGTTATCTCTTCTGCTGCTAGGAAGCCACTATGTCTGGACGTGGAAAGCAAGGCGGCAAAGCTCGGGCAAAGGCTAAAACGCGTTCTTCCAGGGCCGGGCTTCAGTTTCCAGTCGGCCGTGTCCATCGCCTCCTCCGCAAGGGCAACTATTCCGAACGAGTCGGGGCGGGCGCTCCCGTGTACCTGGCGGCCGTGCTGGAATATCTGACTGCTGAGATCTTGGAGCTAGCTGGCAACGCGGCTCGCGACAACAAGAAGACCCGCATCATCCCGCGCCACCTGCAGCTAGCCATCCGCAACGACGAGGAGCTAAATAAGCTTCTAGGTCGCGTGACCATTGCGCAGGGCGGTGTCCTGCCCAACATCCAGGCCGTGCTGCTGCCTAAGAAGACGGAGAGCCACCATAAGGCCAAGGGCAAGTGAAATGATTACTAGTCGAGTCCATCAGTGACCCCGAGTCCCAGAAACCAAAGGCTCTTTTCAGAGCCACCCACTTTTTCTGTAAAGTGCTGGAATACACATATAATCCCTGAAACCCTGTTCTAGTTTTACGAATGCTTCTAACGTTACTGGTCAGTTCATTATTGAAATCCTTGCTCACATTTCGTGCACTAATTTGTCTTACTGGTGTGTCTGCAGTAAAAATGCGTTTATAAAGGTACACAAGAATAGGAACTGATGTTGTAACACCTCAAGGTGTGTCACTACGTTATTTTGTGTATAAGTCCATGGTGTGTATACGTTTTATTATTTCATATAGGCTGTTTATTCATGTGCACTTGTCAGAAAAGGCTGAAAGATTGATACAGTAATAAGAGAACAAAGAAGGATAGCTGTCCATTAGCATTTCAGGGCGGGCTTTTTAAGTTTTAAAAATGACTACATTCCGACTGGGCTCAGTGGCTCATGCCTGTAATCCCAGCACTTTGCGAGGCCAAGGCGGGCGGATCACAAGGTCAGGAGTTCGAGATCAGCCTGGCCAACATAATGAAAGCCCGTCTCCACTAAAAATACAAAAAGTAGCCAGGCGTGGTGGCGGTCATCTGTAGTCCCAGCAACTTGGGAGGCTGAGGCAGGAGAAGCGCTTGATTCTGGGAGGCAGAGGCTGCAGTGAGCCAAGATCGCGCCATTGCACTCCAGCCTGGGCAACAGAGCATGACTACATCTCAAAAAAAAAAAAAAAAAAAAAGACCACATTCCTCCAGTGAGATTTGTGTTTGTTGGGTTTCTCTTTTCAAAAAGCGCAATTAACACAGTATTCTAAAATCAACACTAAACGAAACAGCTGTAATGGCCTAACGCCCTCGCTCAGACCTGTAATTCCAGCAATTTGAAAGACCAAGGCAGAAGAATCGCATGAGCCTAGGTTATCAAGACCGGGCTGGGCAATAAAGCCAGACACCCCCTTCATCTCCACAAAAAGTAAAAAGCCTGCCCTGCCCGGTGGCTCACGCCTGTAATCCCAGCACTGTGGGAGGCCGAGGTGGGCAGATCACTTGACGTCAGGAGTTTGAGACCTGCCTGGCAAACATGGCAAAACCTAAAAATTAGGTTTCTACTAAAAATACAAAAAAATTAGCTGGGCCTGGCAGTGGGCTCCTGAAATCCCAGCTACTCGGGAGGCTAAGGCAGGAGAATCACTTGAACCCAGGAGGCGGGGGTTGCAGTAAGCCGAGATGGTGCCATTGTACTCCAGCCTGGGCAACAGAGGGAGACTCCGTCGTCTCAAAAAAAAAAAGGAAAAAGTTAGCCTGGCATGGTGGCTTGGTCTGAGATCTTAGGTACTTGGGAGAAGTAGGCGGGGAAGGATTGATTGAGCCCAAGAGTTCGAAGCTGCAGTGAGCTATGGGGGACAAAGCAAGATCCTGTTTAGGAAAAAAAAAAAAAAAAAAAAAAAAAACCAGCAGCAAAAACTTAGCTTTATGACCGAAATTTATAAATGGACTACACTGTAAAGCATAATTATTCAACTTTAGTAGAAATCCAGTCACATTGCTCCACAAAAAAAATCTCAAAACTAATTGCATCACACCAGGCTCTGTAAAGAGAACTGATCTGGGCCGGGCGCGGTGGCTCAAGCCTGTAATCCCTGCACTTTGGGAGGCCGAGACGGGCAGATCATGAGGTCAGGAGATTGAGACCATCTTGGCTAACACAGTGAAACCCCGTCTCTACTAAAAAATACAAAAAACTAGCCAGGCGAGGTGGCGGGCGCCTGTAGTCCCAGCTACTCAGGAGGCTGAGGCAGGAGAATGGCGCAAACCCGAGAGGCGGAGTTTGCAGTGAGCTGAGATCGGGCCACTGCACTCCAGCCCGGGCGACAGCGTGAGACTCTGTCTCAAAAAAAAAAAAAAAAAAAAAAAAGAGAACTGATCTGTAAATCTGATATGAAAGGTCATGGCCTACACCAAGCCAACCACACAAAAGTCCACTGGTGGCAAAGAGCCTCCTAAGCAGCTGGCCACCAAGGCAGCCAGCAAGAGCACTCTGGCCACCAACAGCTTGAAGATGTCCCTCAGATACAGGCCCTGAATCATGGCAAACTCCGTCCCTACCAGAAGTCACTGAGCTACTTAAGGGAAAAGCTGCCCTTTCTTAAATATTAGGACAACGTTGCTGAATGAGATTACAAAAAAAATTAATGCCCCAAGGGTCCTAAATAATTGGAGTTATATCTGTTCCACTGAACAGAAATTATTTGCATCACAAATAATTTGCATCAAAAATAATTAGCATCAAAAATAATTTCTGGTGATACAAATAACAGAAATTATTTGCATCACCAGACAAAAGCCTCCAAGAAGTAACTTCAAGAAGTGTGATACCTTTAATCAATAGTAAATTGTGAGATGATGAAAGCACATTTCCCTGCAAACTCTGTAAAAACTATAAATGTTTTATAATGGGACACATTATGTCCCCTCCTGTTTTTCCTTAGAAATCTTATGATTTTTCTTAAACTACATTTTAACTAAAACAAGATAAAAATATAGCAATTGCAAGAAAAAATGTCTATGAAGCCCCATAGTAAAACTCCTTGACATCCTTTACTCATTAATCAAATTCGGGCTCAGAAACAATACCCCAAAATGAAGGCCAAAGAAGCAACCTCAGAAGCAAAATTTTTCTCTGACTTTCTCCTGCCCTCCTGTCTCTCAGTCCCATTCTCTTCTGAGGCTAGACATAGAAACTAAAATTCCTCTTTCCCAGCGTGGCTTATGACAACCAGAATCCTTTTTCCCCAAAGCCAGCCATAAAAACTAAAAATATTACTCTAACTTCCCTTCCACCTTTTTGTGTAACAACTGACCACAGAGAAATTATTTGACCCACCTTGTTTAACTGCAGGTCATAACACCCCATTCCAGAGATGGAGCTGTCCCATACTCAATACCCAGAAGGAAGGAATGCATGTTCAAAGAGGTGAGGGATGAAATGAACATTCTAAACCCCTTTGACAGAATAATGGACCCTCCTTTAGCTAAACGATCCCAAAAGTTTAAGTTCCCAGGCATGACAGGATGGAGGCTGCACATCCTGTTTGTTTATACCCTTCTTCCCCTTTCTGATCACTGCTAGATTTTCTCAAAGTCCGATTTGAGGGAATAATACACCAGAAAGCCCCTTTACTTACTTTATCTGGCCCCTTCCACCCTTCTCCATGGTGGTCCAGACAAGACAGGTATTAAGGACCATAGAGTTTCTTGATAAATGACTGCAGGCCTGCAACTGAATGTGACCAGTCTCCTCAGAATGCGGATCATAGACTTCTGCCCTACATTTCAGTTTTATATATAGGACCTAATTATAACTCATTTACATGTTAAATCTTCACCCCAAAGTGATCATGTGACATATGTTACATACATGTAAACTTAATACACATGTGCTTGGGTCTCCTTCATGAATATTCATAGCTCCTCCTATAACCTGTTAAATAAGTATATTTGGCTCACCCATTCCTCAAAAATTCCTGTTTTATCCCTCCCTCCTTCCCTCCAACTCCCTGTCTCTCAGCAAACCAAGGCTACCCTTCCCAGCCTGTCAGATTGGCCACCTTGCAGGCTGCAATACTTTGAGAAATAAAGCTCTCCTTTGCAAATGTATAAACCTTCTCATTCTTCAGTTGACAGAGGCCAAGAAGAGTCTAGATAAACAAGCCTTGCTGGGTTTCTCCACTCAGTTTATTAACATTACATCATACCCTTTTTATCCAATCAAATTTCTACAAGGTTGTCCATATGTTGTTGAACCTAAGCATAAAAGTGGACAATTTTTTCTTGTATCTTTTGTGTTTTCATTCTAAAGGCTTCCTTGAACACGTTAATAAATTTGTGTAACTTTTCTACAGTTAATCTGCCTTTTGCAAGCTAATCTTTCAGCAAAGCTTCAGAGCTTGCCTTGGCTCCTATAAAATAATAAACACTTCAATTTTTTATTCTTTTTAGACTTCAAAGTAATTGACCTGATGTTCTTATCTGAGTCTTTCTTGGAGTTTATGTAGCTTCCAGGAATGGCAAATTATTTTCTGGACTTTCTTCCTTTCATGAAATGGCATTGTGCTTCCACAGTGATTTCTCTTCCCCTTTTTTTAAACACCAGAATTAGCAGTTGTGGATGCTGTCCCTCAAAAACATACGATAGAGAGAAAAATATTCATATAATACTTCTCTTATTTTTTTTTTTTTTCATTTTTTGGTCTTGCTCTGTTGCCCAGACTGGGGTGCAGTGTCACAATTATGACACTGGAGCCTCAAATTCCTAGTCTGAAGCAATCCTCCTACCCCAGCCTCCTGGGTCACTGGCGTTATAGGCCTGAGCCACTGTGCCTGGCTAAAAGAATTTCTAATACTGTTCACTTACTGATATTTTGCCATGGAAAATTCAAACATCAATAATTTTGCTAGTTACCCACCTCTTCTTGCCTCAATGAGTAATGGTTTAACAAGCCCCCTTAGTTCCCTAACACAACTGTATAGAGATGTAGATGTAGATATAAATATAGATACTTATTGTAGATTAAGTGCAGATGCTATAACTGGGTTCATAGAAGTATATTGAATATCCTCATTGTTTCAAGGCGTATGCTGTCAAGATTTGGTAAAGAATCAAGAAACAGAGAAGAGAAATGGAGAATCCTGGAACAATGCTATTTATAAAGAATAACACAAGCCACGGCCAGATGCGGTGGCTCACGCTTGTAATGCCAGCACTTTGGGAGGCCGAGGCAGACGGATCACCTGAGGTCAGAAGTTCGAGATCAACCTGGCCAAAATGGTGAAACCCCGTCTCTACTAAAAATACCAAAATTAGCTGGGTGTGGTGGCTGCTGCCTGTAATCCCACAGCCTGGGTGACAGAGCGAGGCGCTGCCTCAAAAAATAAGAATAAAATAAAAAAGAATAATATAAGCTGCATATGTAATATTGATTTTTCTAGTAAGCACACTTTAAAAATTAATAAACTGGTAAAAGAATTTTAACAATTATTATATTTAACCCAAAATACAAAATCATTATTTCAAAATATAGTCAATATAAAAACATTATTAATGCAATATTTCACATTCTTTTTTAAATCTTAAGTCTTCTAAATATGAGGGACATCCTATTCAATTTGGTATTAAATGTTTGTTGGAAGTAAATGGAATTTCATTGTGATTTCATAAACTTCAATGATGTAGAATTAAATTCATATATGTGATTGTTCAAAACATATCTAACATTTTCCAATAACTGGAGTATCAGCTTTTGAAATAAAATAACGAAAAATAAGTACAATAAAAGTTCAGGCCTGGCACGGTGACTCATGGCTGTAATCCCAGCACTTTGGGAGGCCAAGGCGGATGGGATACTTAAGTTCAGGAGATCCAGACCAGCCGAGCCAACATGGTGAAACCCCGTTTCTACTAAAAATACCTCCCCCCCGCCCCCCCCCAAATACATAAGCCGGGCGTGGTGACCAGCACCTCTAATTCCAGCTACTCTGGAGGCTGAGGCAGGAGAATCGCTTAAACTCAGGAGGTGGAGGTAATAGTGTGCTGAGATAATGCCACTGCACTCCATCCTGAGTGACAGAGCAAGACTCCTCAAAAAAAAGAAAGTCAGTCCTCAGCAGCAACAGCCACATTGCAAATGCTCAGTAGCCACAACTGGTTTCTGACTGTTTTATCACAAAACACAGATCCTATGGGAAATTGTGTTCAAGTATGGAGATAATGATAGAAAATACTGATTAATACAAGTGAGCTGGTAAGTTCTTATGTAATCAGGTAAACTTTGCACTGAGTTCTAAAATAAAGCTTTACACATAGAAATGAGGATTATGAAAGGAACTGAAGGCAGCTTCAGATGGCAAAACACCGGATTGACAGATTTAAGAACACTGGGGAGGAAATCAAACTGTGGGGCATAAAGATGGAATTTCCTTAATGGTCCTCACTGACTGTGTTTTGAACCTTTAACCGAAAGTGTATCTTTTGATTTCGGAAACATTTTTTAGTTGTAGATATTAACATTCTCATAATAGAAATGAAAAAAGTAAAATGAAAATGAGAAAACAGAAGATAATATCAATAAACAGGCCTTGGACCTCAGAAGATGACATGTAGGGAGTGTTGAGAGGAAAAGCATAGAGAGGGCATAGCTCTCATTAACAAACAGCCCAGCCCACAGATATGTGATCATATTGTACAAAAGGATTTCAGTTCTTTACTTGCTTCTTATAAAACCGTTTTGCCAACATATCTAACCGTTTTACCATGATTTAAAGTGTACAGAAGTTTCTTTTTCTGAAAAGGAGAGAAGCAAGGGACTCATATATATTTCAGATGTGAGACTGAAACGCGTGACAACGTGTAACTTCAGTCAAGACTTGCCCAGGAGTCCTAAGATAATTCAAATTTGCAAAATAGACACTAACTTGAAAGGTGCAATTGTATCAATCCTGTGGTTAGCAGAATTTTGATGAATGCCCTAAAATAGGCAGGTTTAACAGAATTCAAGGAATGAACAGGAATGCACAAAACATTCTTTGTCTCCTCCCCCCTCCAGCTTGCAGACATCCGCAGGCATTTGCGGGCAGCGAGAAATTTGGTTTGGCCGTCTCCCCTCCCTGGAGGACGGGGGCTCCAGCATATTCATGATGTCAATCTCCTTGGACTACATGCCAGCGTCATTGCGGACCTGCTACAACACTTTACAAAATAGCTTTCCAATAAGAAAGAAAACCTAATAGGAAAGAAAAACAAAAAGAAACTAGACCTCGCAACAGGCGCGCATGCGCACTATCCCTTTCTGAAATACAGTACTGTTACACAAACGCGAACTTGTAAATCTAAACTCTGCCTGAACCAAAGTAGCCAATAGATTAAAAGTATGTAAATTAAGAATTCCCAAACTGCTCTTTTTATTGGCTAGGAAAAGAACACCTTACAGGGGACCCGATAGGTTGATTTAAAACACTGTGTTAGGCTATAATGTCATTCCTTAAGAATCTTTTGCAGTAAACATTTGTTACATTTTCAAAGTAATTGGGAGCTGTTGAGTTTGGAAGCGAAAACCAAGTTAAGAAGTCCTGTTATTTGGGTGAGTCCAGTCCTATAAAAGCTCTGTTGGACGTGTCTTAAATTGTTCAGGGCACCTCAGTTCTCTCCCGCAGGGATCTAGAGAAACTGCGCCATTGTTGTCTTATAAAAAACAACCTTCTAAGACTCTCTTCGCCGCCATCTTTTTCAAGATTCTATACTGAAAATACTTTTTTTGACGGCTCTTGCCATTATGTCTGGACATTTTAATTTCAACAAAACAAAATAATACCGTTAAATGATTTGAGTCAAACCTGATATTACAGAGGTAGGGATTCCAAGATGTTAGAATTTTACTCTAACACAAATGAAACACAAAGTTCCTTATGTTTAAACAGTGTATCTTAGAAAACCTTGTTTGAATGAATTAGCTATACTCCCTAATGAAACGAGGACTCATTGAGAGATACTTAGACGACGGATTTTAAATGAGTGAATAGGGAAGGGGAAAACTTCAGGAAAATTAAGCAGAATAAAGCAGCGGAGATTGTTGAAAAAAAATTCTAAAGCATTTTCTAATTCAAACACATTCGATTTTTTATAGCTAAACAGGATAAAAGGTCAGTCAAGTTAAATGATAAATGTCTTTGCAGGTCATGCTGTATGCAAAACATCAAAGATACCTGTAACAAAAAAACAACTTGTTTAAAGGAGCCAGTTCTCTATCCAAATTTACCAATCAGAATCTTGCACTGAAAAAATAAACCAATCGTGAATCGCTCTGAGCACATCCGGAATTTAGCAACCGATCACTAACAGGGATTGTCCACAATCCAATCAGAGTGATTCTGTTCCTATATAAATAGAGGGGTAAACCAATTTTCCTAACCCACTTACTTTGCAGCTGAGGTATGGCGCGTACTAAGCAGACCGCTCGTAAATCCACAGGCGGTAAAGCACCGCGAAAGCAGCTGGCCACTAAAGCAGCTCGCAAGAGTGCTCCAGCCACGGGTGGCGTGAAGAAGCCTCATCGCTACCGCCCTGGTACCGTGGCTTTGCGCGAGATTCGTCGCTACCAGAAGTCCACCGAGCTTCTTATCCGAAAGCTGCCGTTTCAGCGCCTGGTGCGAGAAATCGCTCAGGACTTCAAGACCGACCTGCGCTTTCAGAGTTCCGCTGTGATGGCACTGCAGGAGGCCTGCGAGGCTTACTTGGTGGGGCTTTTTGAGGACACCAACCTGTGCGCTATCCATGCCAAACGCGTCACCATCATGCCTAAGGATATCCAGCTTGCCCGCCGCATTCGTGGCGAGAGAGCGTAAATCTTTTTGAGTGCCAACCTTCAACCCAAAGGCTCTTTTCAGAGCCAATCACTTTCTCCATGAAAAGAGCTGTAATCTTTCAAGACACATTAGACCACGAAACTGCACTGATGGAAACAGACCTTTGAAATAATGGCATTTAGCCCCCTCAATGTAATGCTTAATTTAAAATTCCAAAATCAAGCGCTTCCTCAGGTTTTGCCTGGGGCTCCGCCTCCCTCCCGGATTTTCCATTGGTTTAGCAGGCTTTGTTTTGCTGTTCAGGCCCTCTGCTTATTTGTTGTACTTTGCTCTCCTTTTCTAACTCCTAGCCACTTAACTGGCCCTCGCTTAACCCATTCTCTTGTTTTCTGGCTCTTAAGGCTCCTCCAAGTGGTGGCCTGTATTTGAGGTCTTAACTGCATAGGCTTTCAACTCCTTGGATTTGCCTTTCCCGGATGTCTGTTTGAACTTGCCCGAGGGGCCAGCGCTTTTGGTCTGCATCAGGCTGTCTTACTCCACTAGGGTTTTGAGACCCAGCTACTTGCCGGCGACGGTCGGCGCCTTGGGTGCGGTCAAGGTTACCCTCTCTGTGCGCCTGATACCGGTCTAAGGCTAAGGTTATTAGCTGGAACACCTAGATCCGTGGCATTAACACAGCTCTTGCAGACTTGAAAGCCTTGCTTAGGTTCTAAACTGCAGGAGTCAAAGCAACGAAGGTGCAGATGGGTGTGTCTGACATACCTGAGTGAGAAAGGAAAATGCAAAAATCATGAGCCTTTTCAACTTTCTAGCTGATATTTTTTTTTTTTTTTTTTTTTTTTTTTTTTTTTTTTTTTTTTTTTTTGAGACGGAGTTTCTTGTTTCCCAGGTTGGAGTGCATTGGCGCGATCTCCGCTCACCGCAACCTCCTCCTCCCGGATTCAAGCGATACTCCTACCTCAGCCTTCGGAGTAGCTGGGATTACAGGCATAAGCCACCGCGCCCGGCCTTCCAGCTGATATCTTAAAAGAACTTTTCAACTTTAGTAAATACCCTGTTTTAATGAAATCTCATTGAAAGTACCCCATGTTTATCATCAAATGAAAATCCTTTGACGACTTCCAAGTTCTTACAGAAAAATATTCCGCCTTTCCATACAAAGGTACAGCTTCGAAACTGGTAGATGAAGGAGGGAAGGAAAATAAGGAATTCTGTTCCGAAATCATACAGGCTGTTATTTGGAAATGCAGAAGGGTGTATGTACTATATGGGATACTACGTGCTATTTGGAAGAATTTTTTATATTTAAACATTTCAGGAAATTCCTCAGTTTTGAAATGGGGCGGAGTAGTTTCAACTGTCATTGAGAAATTTCTATTAACTTTTTTTAATGTGCGGTTTTCCCTCAAGTTGCACTAAGGAAAGAGGTTAGTCATGTGGTAGTGACAAAGCTGTAAATAGCTATGCAGGCCAAGGTAGCCCTATATAGTAAGAAGTCCTGGAGATTTATGGAAGAAATTTTTGTTCATGGAAGCCCGTCAGACATAAAGACGTAGGTCCTGTGAATTACAGATTCAGTGTATGAGGAAAACAGTATAACTATCCATAATTAAGGTAACTGCTGTCAGATATTTGTACCATAGTGAACATCATATTATGCTGGATAAAAGCATTCTCTATTTAAATGTTGTTTCCTGTATCCTGTACTTTCTTTAAGATTCTACCTCAGCAAGTTTTAACCTGTATTTCTGTTACAGCTGTTGGACTTCAATACATGAGGACTTGGACTTGGTGGGCACAGAATGCATCTTCTTATATCATTAAATCCACCAGAACACCTAGCATGGTCATTTGCCTAAAACAAAGCCTCTGGAAATTTAGTCAAGTTGAGATTTAAAATAAAAGATTACTGAACAGAATTTACCACTGAGTGAATTCTTATTTACAAAAATAAAAGATTAGATAAAGTTTTTATAATTTTAATATATAGTTTTTCTAAATAGGAAAAATCCACACTTATTGAGTGTCCGCAATGGGCCAGAAGTCATGCAGTATTTTACGAAGTCTCCAAAAATGTAAGTTCAATAGTTATCTATTATCTAAAACTAATTTAAACTGAAACTAAGAAAATTTCAGATAGTGCTGGAGCCAAAACTTTCCCCACCAGGCATTACTGTTTTAAATAAAAAGCCTCAGCAGAATCCTCATCACTTACTCCTGAGGGCTTTATCACCTGGAATAGCTACTAACATGTTTAAATTTTTCATATACAATAAAATAAATGGATTTTTTTTTTCTTTTTTTTCTTGACACGGAGTCTCGCTCTGTCGCCCAGGCTGGAGTGCAATGGCATGATCTCCGCTCACTGCAAGCTTCGCCTCCTAGGTTCACACCATTCTCCTGCCTTAGCATCCCGAGTAGCTGGGACCACAGGCGCTTGCTGCCACACCCGGCTAATTTTTTTTGTATTTTTAGTAGAGACGGGGTTTCACCATGTTAGCCAGGATGGTCTCGATCTCCTGACCTAGTGATCTGCCCGCCTTGGCCTCCCAAAGTGCTGGAATTACAGGCGTCAGCCATCACGCCCGGCATAAATGGATGTTTTAAAATGTACAGGGTCTTAGGCCAGGCAGGGTGGCTCACGCCTGTAATCCTAGCACTTTGGGAGGCCAAGGCAGGCAGATGACCTAAGGTCAGGAGTTCAAGACCAGCTTGGCCAGCATGGCTAAACCCAGTCTCTACTAAAAAAATACAAAAATTAGCCGGGCGTAGTGGCACGTGCCTGTAATCCCAGTTACTTGGGAGGCTGAGGCAAGGAGAACCACTTAAACCTAGGAGGCAGGGGCTGCAGTGAACCGAGACTACGCCACTCCACTCTAGGCTGGGTGACAAAACAACATTCCATCTTAAAAAAATTAATAACACCAGCCTGGCCAACATGGTGAAACACCATCCCTACTAAAAATACAAAAATTAGCTGGGTGTGGTGGCAGACATCTGTAATCCCAGCTACTCGGGAGGCTGAGGCAGAAGAATCTTTGAACCTAGGAGGCGGAGGTTGCAGTGAGCTGAGATTACACACCACCACACTCCAGCCTGGGCAACAGGGCGAGACTCCATCTCAAAAAATAATAATAATAATAATAAAATGAAATATACAGGATCTTATATGATTGTGAAGTTACACTATAATTAGTACTGCAAATTTTACAGAAATGAAACTCATATACATACAGTAAAATATGATGTTAACATTCACAAATTTTAGCCTTACTGTGTACTATTCAAATAATACCCTTGATTTAACCACATATACACAAGAAACTTTCTTCAAAGGCATACACTGAGAAAGTAGTAAATAATACTAGATGTTTTTAAAATAAATTGTGATTTTATTTGGGGAAGATCTCAAATCTTACTCATGTGTCAGATCATATTTTCTATGTACTTGTTGGCACACTATAGTGTGTATCCATTTCACAGTTACATAGTTGCCTGCAAGTACTTATAATTAAAATAAAATAAGTATGTAATCTCTGAATAACCAGTAGTTTCTTCATATTATAAAGATAATACCTAAAACTCAAGACAATTCAGAAATCCCATTTTATTATTTCTCCATACCCTCCCTACTCGACCTGCCAACAGTAAATATTAATATGTAACATTTGGGAATTTGAAAGGCAAACTTGAAATACTTTTTTCATTTTTGTTTTGTAGTTGCCACCACTAAAAATTGCATATATATATAAAATGGTATACTTCCAAAGATAAGGAAGATAGTCTTGTAAATCAGGCCATGGACACAAGAGTCATGAAAGGGGCAGAGAAATTTGTTACCCCTGTTTTCTCACACAGGAAAACAGAAAATGAAATCACTGAATTTGATGACTATCTGACAATAATATAACCCATTTGATGGAATTTTTTAATTCAGACACACACACACATACACATACACACACACACACACACATACACACACACACATGCCCCTAGAGTAGTGGAAAATGAGACAAATGCTCTATAGTTCAGTTTAGTTAATGGGAGTAAACAATAGATGCATTAAAATTTTTCTATTGATAATAATTGTTCTTAATTATTAAATGTCATGAAAGCACATTTTCAGAGATAAGTTTACGTTTTGAATTAGAGGGAGATGTAATTTGAGAAGGAATTGGAAGTATTATAAAGATTCTCACGGGGAATTGTTCCAGAACAAAGTTGTAAAATAATAACAATAATAATAAAATAAGAAGAAACAGAAAGGTTACATTGTTATTAGTGTCTGTGAGTGCGAGCAGACAGTATTATGAAAAGGGGCTAAGAGGCTACAGGGCTTTCCCATGAACCTATGAGAAGCCACTGACCTTTTTCATAAGGCATATTTGGTGTTTGTTTTTTAAAATGGGCCGGGCGTGGTGCTCACGCCTGTAATCCTAGCACTTTGAGTGGCTGAGGTGGATGAATCAGCTGAGGTCAGGAGTTTGAGACCAGCCTGAACAACATGGTGAAACCCCATCTCTACGAAAAATACAAAAACAAATTAGCCGGGTATGGTAGCGTGTGCCTGTAATCCCAGCTACCTGGGAGACTGAGGCAAGAGAATCACTGGAACCAGGGAGGCAGAGGCTGCAGTGAGCTGAGATTGAGCCACTGCACTCCAGCCTGGGCAACTTAGCAAGACTCTGTCTCAAAAAATAAATAAGTAAATAAATAGTTAAGATAAATTGGAGGCTAGAGAAATTAGGGAACTAGTTAGTAAGCATTGGAATCATCCTAGCTATGAGAGAATGAAGAGAGAATGTAGAAGGGAGAATATGTAAGAATTATTTAGAATTCTGTAAAAATCAACCTGATTTAGTGACTGTGTAACAGGGAAGATTGAGGCCTCCCCACAATACCATGAAAATCTGCTTCCTCAAGTTAAAGTAATGACTTCAGGTTGATTCTAAAAATTACTTTTGTGTCAGACCTATGCTATACGCATAAGAACTCTCCAACAGCTAAGATAGTATGAAAATGCCCTTCACAACTTCCATGCTAAGACACTGTTAATATTCTTTACCAATCTCAAGATATTCATTATAACTGCTACAAAATTTTAATATATGGAGAAAGATTTAAACAAGTTCAGATTTCCTTGAAAACAAGTGCATGTCCTCTGTGGCAAATGAATATGAATATGAATTTATATAAATCTGACAAACTCTGGAAGATCATTGATTGAATCATTACATTTCATTGCTTCTGTTGCATACCAAACATATTGTGAAATGGATACTTCACAAAGGGCCAGAAATAGAAATACATAAATTCTGCTTCTTTCTCAATGAGCCTAAAAAGGAACTGGAAAATACCACTCCTTTTCCAGTTGATATAACAGAATTGAAGCAGCATAAGAACGATTCTAGGAATCAAGAAACTTGTTTTGAGACCTAGGTCCACCATTTAGTGACAGCAAATGGTCATTTCTTGCCATTTAACCTTTCTAAGCGCCAAGTTTCTTAACAGTAAATCAAGCATTTTAGCTATACCTGATATAAATGCATTGTAATTGCCCAAGTGAGGCAGTTAAATAAGTGCTTTGCAACAGTAAGGAACCAGAGGTATGTTATAGTCATTTGGACTGCTCTTGTGGAATACCACATTCCCCACCTAATTATCTTATTCCTTATCACTTTTCATCAAAAGCCTAAATCTTGTCATTCTGGGTACTAAAGTCATTCCAGATCCCTTCTCCCCATTAGGGATAGTAAAATAATACCCCAAAAGGAAGGCCTTAGAAGCAGAAGTGAGTGACCTACTGCTATTCTTTGGCCTCTCATCCTCTGTTGAGGCTACAGATAAAACTAGACTCCCTCTTCCCCAAGGTGGTTACTGAAACTTCCCTATCCCTTTTTCTTCAAAGCCAGCCATAAAACCTAAAAACCTTACTGTAACTTTTCGCCCTCCTTTCTGTGTAAAACCTAGCCATAAAAACGTATATGTCTTCTGTTGTTTGGCTGTAGATCATAAGACCCTCCCTCATTACAGAGAGGGTCCTCTAGAATGAGGAAGGAATACTCAGAAGGAAAGAATCTTGCCAGAGGCCAAGAAGAATCTAGACACAGAGGCCTTGCTATGTTTCCCCAGTCCATTAGCATTAGATGACACCCTTTTTATCCAGTCACAGTTCTACATGGCAGTTGGTACTTTGTTGAACCCTAAGCATTAAAATGGACAGTTTCCCCTGTACCTCTGAGCCTTCCTTGTGAAGGTTCCCATGTCACATAAACCTATGATGAATTTTGACTTTTCTATTAATCTGCCTTTTTTCCATTGATTTTCAGTGAACTTTCGGAGAGTGAAGAAGTTTTGCTCACCCCTACATACCTGTATTTTTCACTCATTTTCAAAAAGATTATTTTGAATAAATATTTCAAATTCTCCTATTTATTCAGATCCCCTTCTCAGTCAAGCCACTCTCATACAGGGAGGTATTTTGGCTTTCTCTACAAATAAGAAATTGTGTGATATAGCCGTGGTTCTCAAAAAATTAAACTCCTGCTTATAACTAGAAACACATCACAGGCTACATCCTTTTTTGGGGGGAGGGAGGCAAATAATAATGTAAAATATAATAAAATATTAACTAATAAGCAGAATATAAACAAAAAAGTAAGATTAAGAAGTATTATAATCATGAGGTATTTATGGTATTTGGTCCCACTGCAAACTTGTTCAAGAGTTCATGACTTGTTTTGTGCTATGTATTCTGGAGATTCTGGCAATCTATAGACACCTTCTCAAAACCACGCTTTAAAAAAATACTTAAACGGGGTAAGAAAGGTAGTGACACTAAAATTTTTTTTTTTTTTTGAGACGGAGTCTCGCTCTGCCGCCCAGGCTGGAGTGCAGTGGCCGGATCTCAGCTCACTGCAAGCTCCGCCTCCCGGGCTCACGCCATTCTCCTGCCTCAGCCTCCCGAGTAGCTGGACTACAGGCGCCCGCCACCTCGCCCGGCTAGTTTTTTGTATTTTTTAGTAGAGACGGGGTTTCACCGTGTCAGCCAGGATGGTCTCGATCTCCTGACCTCGTGATCCGCCCGTCTCAGCCTCCCAAAGTGCTGGGATTACAGGCTTGAGCCACCGCGCCCGGCCTAAAATTTTTTTTTCTTAAAGTCTGTATATATGCTTTAGTTACACATCAAAAAATAAGATCTAGCAGCAAGTATAATGTTGGCTTGAAAGGTTCACAATTAGTGTAAATTATTTCAAGACACCTGTAATAAGTACAAAGTGATATGAAAAATCTATGATTATCATTGATGTGAAATCCAGTGATTAGCTGTCTGTACTCACAAAGGAAATAACCAAATTGCATTTAGGATTTGTAAAAATATAATTTTTTTCCCATCTAGAGTCCCATAAACATCTGTAGAAATTAGATTTTGTCGAGATTTCTCAGTACGATTAAGTGGGCTTTTCTAAAGTCAAAAGCAAAACAAAAAAAAAATAACCTCAACCTCCCAAATACAATGGAAACAGTAGTACATCCAAGTCAACCCAACTTCCTACAGCCCATTTCTTTGTCCTGGTAACCCCAATTTCAGGCTTCTTGCTCCATTCTCCCAGGTTTTTCATTTATTTTTCCTTCTCTATTTCTTATCTAATCACCAAATATGTATTGGATAGCTAACTCTAGCTCCCTGGTTCATCTCAATCTGTGAGAAAGTAATTTGGGAAAGGTAGTAGATTATAAACTGACAGAGGTTCCTTTCATACTATCTTTTAGCATCAGGGTGGGAGCAATACTTATGGAGATTTACGCAGAATGACAAGGTGAGTAGTCTCCCAAAAGAGAATTCCATTTGGAGAATTCCATCTGAGGGGGAGGGGAGAAAAAACCAGACTTTTCGACTAGGTCCCAGCATACCCAACTTTTAATATCGCAACCTGACAGGTGAAAATTTTTGGCTCGGAAAAACCCCGCAAATAAAAATCTAACAATACGTTCTGATTGGTTAATTCAGCAGGCTCTGCAAACCAATAGAAAAGCAAGTTTTACAAAACTGAGTCAGAGACGATGATGACTTCTCCCTGCGATTGGCTTAACACTAGAATTGCATTTTTTTTCTAAAGTTACCTGGACGCGGGAAGCAAGACCAAACTCGCTCCAAACGCAAGACCTGCTTTGCCACGCAGGCCTAGTTGCCAGTAGGCCTAATACACCGAGTCCTCCGCAAAGACAGTTACTCCGAGCAGGTTGGGCCAGCACGCCAGTGTTACCTGGCGGCCGTGCTAGAAGGTTAAGAGTAGGCAAAAATAAATGAACAAGCAAGAGAGCCTCTGGGAAAATAAGTCCTGGAGACGCTGGTCACTGACAGAAAAAGAATGGCCACACTTTTTGAGACAGGCTCCCTCTATCGCCCAGGCTGGAGTGCAGTGGAGCGATCTCGGCTCACTACAACTTCCGCCTCCCAGGTTCAAGTGATTCTTCGGCCTCAGCCCCCCCAAGTAGCTGGAATTACAGGCGCGCGGCACTACGCCTAATTTTTATATTTTGTTTAGTAGAGAGAGGGTTTCACACCATGTTTTTCAGGCTGGCCTCGAACTCCTGACCTCGTGATGCGGCCGCCTCGGCCTCTCAAAATGCTGGGATTATAGGGGAGCCCCCTCGCCAGGCAGTGCAGGCCCACAATGCCTATTTCCAAGTACGGTACCTGACAGCCCATATCCCAGAGTTAAGGGGTTTCACAAGCCTGCTAAGACAGACACCGGGCGCCACCTGCAGTTGGCCATTTTCAACGCTGCACAAGATGGTGGGCCGCAGGAACCTTGGGCATGCCAGGTACTGCTCACAACCAGGACAGGGTGTGCTCAAGAAGTCACCTCAATGCTAAAGCAAACTAAAGCATTTACACCATATCCCTGTGCCAGGAATAAAATTTTTTCAGAGCCACTTTCTAAGCGCACGCTTTGAGAGAAATCAGCCGGCCAATCACACACCACCGCGGGAATTTTAAGAAAAAGCAAAACCTGGTGGTTCAAGTAGCCTTAGCTACTCCGGTGGCTGTGGCTGTGGCTGAGGCAGGATTCTTGCGCCCAGGCTGCTGGGAACTGAGTTACTGAACCCCAACCGGCATGACTGGGGTAGACCGCGCCCGCACACCACACCTGCAGCCCCCCTGGCCCCGCAAAAAAGGCGCCAGCTCTTTTGACTGAGACCTATGGGTGGCTCTGAAAAGAGCCGTTTAAATTTTCAAAGCGGAACGTCCCGCCAGTTTCACTTTTTCTTCGGAGCTGCCTTCTTTGCCTTTGTAACCTTCGGCTTCGCCGACTTAGGCTTGGCTGCCTTGGGCTTAGGGGCTTTGGCCTTAGCTGGACTCTTGGCGGCTTTTCTTGGCTGGGGTGTTTTCACCTTTTTCGCACTCTTGGTCACTTTCTTGGTCCCAGCAGCTGTTGCTGGCTTCTTTGCCTTCTTAGGAGTCTTTTTGACGCTTTTCTTCGGGGTAGCGGCGCCACTCGCTTTCTTGGGCTTCTTGGCTGCTGCAGCGGGCTTTCTAGGCTTGGCTGAGCCAGCCTTCTTGGCCTTGGGTTTGCCTTCCCCGGAAGCGGCTTTCTTGTTCAGTTTAAAGGAGCCAGAAGCACCGGTGCCTTTGGTCTGCACCAGAGTACCCTTGCTCACCAAGCTCTTGAGGCCAAGCTTGATACGGCTGTTGTTTTTCTCTACATCGTAGCCAGCAGCCGCAAGCGCTTTCTTAAGCGCGGCCAGAGAAACGCCGCTGCGCTCTTTGGAAGCTGCCACTGCCTTGGTGATGAGCTCAGACACTGGGGGTCCGGATGCCTTGCGTTTCCCAGCAGTAGCGCCTGCCTTCTTCGCCTTTTTCTTCACAGGTATTTTTTCTGCGGGTGCAGGAGTGATAGGAGCAACTGGAGCAGTCTCCGACATGTTTTTGTCTTGCCAGAAAAGACAAAAGTAATCTCAAACTGTCAGAACGGCGTGTTCTCTACGCCGGAGGCTGAGGGTTTATATAGAGAGACGCTGAGTGATGATTGGTTCCTTGCTCCATGCGCGGAGCTGCTGGAAAAGGACTCCTCCGATCTACCGCGCTGCTGTGTTTCTTGCCCCTTAAAAAAGAGCAAAAATATAAGAAATCTGGGCATGAAATAATGAGGAATTTGGGGGAAACTGATCCGAGAGACTTCGGGCTTCATTCCTGCCTTTTTTCCTATGCATAGTTTTAAAAGCGGCATCTTGAAACTTTTCTTATTCCCCCAACTCTCTTTCAAACTTCGGTCAAATCGAGACAACTTTCAGGTTTTCCTTAAAAATACTATTTCTCCCTCTTTCATTTGCAAATGTCTCTTCCAGGGCATTGTTCTGTGAATTCTTATCGTCTCAAATTTATACAGATAAACTCATTTTTATTCAAATGTGTAGGGAAATTGGTGTTTTTCGCAGGAGCAATAGCACAGGCTCTCTGGCGAGTTGTTTGCATCAACCTCTAAGAATTGGCGCTGAGGTAGAAAGTTCTATGTATAAGAGGGGTGATTATTTTAGAAAAGATAGTTTTAAAAAATAATATTTGAGTTACCAGTGTGTAAGTTGGATTTGATCTCTGTATTTCAGTGGTTTAAACATTTCCAGAAAGATAAGCGTGAGGCGACATCATTCCTCTTATAGAAAAAAAATCCTAAGTAGAGTCACCAACCTTCTCTTAAAAGTTAGCATCATGGATTTTTCCGACCTAGAATGGGCATTAAAGATCAACTACCACATCTCCAAAAAAGAAAACTGAACCAACAAATAACAGAATGGCAGGCCAACATCATTTTGCCAACTATGAGCATTGAGAGCTTGTGTACATGTTCGTGTCCCATCACTTTATAAATAATTTAATGAAAGACACTATTTTTTTGCTAATATTCCTCATAGAATTTTGTACATTTTTTATATTTTGAAATCATATAATACAAATTTCACTTCCTCTGTATACAAACTGTTTGAATAACTGGTAAGAATCACTTTAAAAAAATAAAATACAAACTTTCAACATTGCAAGTGTGGGCATCAAGGTTTAGAAAGAAAACAATCTTATTTAAATCACTTTCTAAATTTTCATCATTCTCCTTGGCTTTTTACACGCAAAATACGAACTAAGCTGTCACACCCTAAATTAACAGGTTGAATATGTCCACCTGAGGAGCTGAACAAATATTTCAGAGCAAACATGAGTAACTTCACTATTTCTTATCATTCCTTATCTGTTAGTTTGCAATACAGCTGATGGAATTAGGTTATTATTGGATAATTAAGCACATTAATATTCTCCATCAAATAATCAGATGCTGAAATGAACTCCTATGTTTGTTAAAGAAACAAGAGAAGTAGTTTGATCTTATGTTTCCTCTGACAAAAATACTCATTTCAAAAAATCAAGTTATTCTGGCCTACACTCAATAGTGATTAGAAGATTTTTTCATATAAACCCTAGATAAAATAATCAACTTTAAAGATGTCATCTTTCCTCATTCAACAAATTTCATAAAAAATTACTTAGCTTGTCTTGGCCAGATGCAGTGGCTGTCTCACACCTGTAATCCCAGCACTTTGTGAGGCCAAGGTGGGCAGACTACCTGAGGTTCAGGAGTTCGAGACCAACCTAACCAACATGGTAAAACCTTGTCTCTACTAAAAATACAAAAATTAGCTGGGCATGGTAGCACACACCTGTAATCCCAGCTACTTGGGAGGCTGAGGTAGGAGAATCGCTTGAACTCAGAAGGCGAAGGTTGCAGTGAGCCAAGATAGCACCATTGCACTCCAGCCTAGGCAATAAGAGTGAAACTCCTTCTCAAAAAAAAAAAATTACTACACTTGTATTAAGTAATTATTTACTCTCTTGCATGTATTGAAAACAAGTCTCTGGGACTTAAGACCATGTTATATACCACAAAAATACAAATATAGTTTATAAAAGAGCTAAACTTACAGAATTGGATTAGTAGCACCCCATAGTTCCAGTAGGGAAGTATTTTATAGGTTTCTGGAGGCAGGGACAGTGCATCTTCATGGATATCATTATTAACAGTGATAGTCACAAGCATAATATAAGTATTTCTTTTTGGGACCATAGCTTTATATTGCCAAACGTAAAGATACAACTAAAATTCTGATTGTTTACTGTTTATTATTTTCATCGTTATTGTAGTCTTAATACTTGTTGGATAATTGTTGGAATTGTTCACCCTGTTAGATATAGTCAATTAACAGATGCCACCATTTCATTCTTGTCCAACACTGAGTGGTTCCCATGGCTACTTAGGGTCTCAATAAGTAAAAAGGCATTGGGTTAACTAATCTCTGCCCTTTCTGGAGGGCGATAACTGAGACTCAGTTTCACCAACAAATTTCGCCAGATGTTCAAAGAGGAAAGGAACTGGGCTACATAATTTGGGACCTAGGTACTTATCTTCTCTGTAATTGCAGCATGGACAAGGTTCCTGAAAGCTGGATCACCCCATGGACTGTAAACTTGAAGTCCTGCAAAGTTTCACCTATTACGTTGGTAGTCCTCAAAAAGAGTTCTGTGTTGCTTTGGAATCCTAAATCTGAATATATTCTAAAACAGTAGATTTCCCATTACACTATGGTTGGAAATATTTATTTTATAGATGCAAAAAGTAGCTAGGAAAAACTAGTTAGATAAATGATAGCTGTCTAACTTATGGCTCAGTGTTCTCTTCATTTTGTGTTAACTCCCCTATCCCCACCACCACCACAGTAAATGACTGTGAGAGTTGTAGGTAGTATTCACTAGATCAATTCAGTGAGACAGTGCTTAAGCATCACGCAATTCAGATTTTAAAGATTATCAACAAAAAAAGAAAATATGTAGAATAAATATTAAAACGGATGAAAGCATATATAGACTATTACAGAAAGTAAGGCTTTGTGTTAGAATTGAATGTGTTCAGAAGGTCCATGAGAAATCACATCGATTATAACCGTCCTTGAAATTCCTCTTCAGGTACAACAGTATTGTATTAATTTTATTTCCTAAAAAGGCCACTACTGCACTCAAACTTACAATTTTCTTTTTACATGTCTCAGGCATCCACCAAACTCCGTGTTCCCTTCTAGACTGGATTAGAAGCTCTTCAGAGGAAACCCCCTTATCATAGATACAGCCCAATAGAACTTTCTGCAATGATAAAAATGTTCTGTATTGACACTGTCCAATAGGTAGCCACTACCCATATGTGGCTATTGAGCACCTTAATGTGGCTAGAGTAAGTGTACAAATTAGTTTTTAATTTAAATTAATTTAAATAAAAATGAGCACATGTTGCTAGTGGCTAATACAGGACAGCAGAGCTTTAAAACAATTATTCTCAAACTTGGAAGAGCATACCCACCACCCACTTAGAAATCTCATTAAAAATGCAATATCAATTCCATTGAATTGGGGTTAAGCCCGAAATTCTGTGTGTCTAACAAGCTTCAGAGTGATGCCAGTAAAGCTGGGATATGGCTGCTCCACCCTTAAATACTCAAGAGTAAGTAGAAGTATGCTCGTCTGATATCTGCCCCCTAACCCTGAGTTTACTTTTCCCTTTACTAAACTTTTGAATTCTTTAAGGGAATAAATGTGATTACCTTTGTAAACCTGGTATTTGTACACCATTCTTGGCATGTAGTGAACATTAAATTGTTGAGTGAATGAGTGATGCTTGTTTGGTGTCTACCTCAAAAAGGAGAGCATTTGAGATCCTTGTGTCTATTCCTACAGATAACTGAACCTAAGCCAAAATTTAAGTAGACTCTTAACTGCACAAAATGAATAATCTTCTCACTGCCTTTAGGCACCAGCAGAGAAGGAATTTTTAAGTTGCCCCTGCAGTATATAGGAGGCAATGAATGTGAAGGAGTAGAATGTAAGAGTTAATGTTGAATCTTTCTACTACACATACCCTATGTCTGTAGAACATTTCTTCAGGAATCTTTTATTAGGACAGTATTTCACAGAATTTATTAGTATTATTTTTGTTAATTTACAAATCTTTATTCACCATGATTTACCATGTATGCTTTAGTGGCATAAAAGCACTGGTAGGTAGCAAGGTAATGAGACTCCAGAATCAAGCCAACAATACAATACCATTTGTTAGAGGATAATGTCTTCAAGCCTGGGGTTCCTTATCGTTAGGCCTCAGACATTGCATTAAACGTTGAAACAGTAAAAATGAAACTTCACTTAATATTGGTTTCCCTTACTAGAGGTCTTTCTTTATTAGGAATGCCGAAAACGAATGTATACGTCTCTGCCAAACGCTAAGTCCCATGATTGGCCAAATTTAAGAAGTATTGCTACATTTTAAGAATCAATAAAAATGGCCGGCAGTGGTGGCTCACGCCGGTAATCCCACCACTTTGTGAGGCCAAGGCGGGTGGATCACCTGAGGTCAGGAGTTCAAGACGACCCTGGACAACATGGCGAAACCCTGTCTTTAATGAGAAAATACAAAAATTACCTGGGTGTGGCGATGCATGCCTGTAATCCCAGCTACTTGTGAGGCTGAGGCATGAGAATCGCTTGAACCCAGAAGGCGGAGATTGCAGTGAGCTGAGATAGCACCACTGCACTCCAGCCTGGGCAACAGAGCAAGACCCCTCTCAAAAAAAAATTAGTAAAAATACATTTTTAAAGAATCTTCACATTTATAAATTAAGGCCAGGCACAGTGGCTCATGCCTGTAATCCAAGCACTTTGGGAGACCAAGAGAGGTCCCCCGATCACCTGAGATCAGGAGTTCGAGACCAGCCTGGTCACCGTGGCGAAACCCCATCTCTACTAAAAATACAAAAATTAGCCAGGCGTGGTGATGCGCGCCTGTAGTAGCAGCTAATCCAGAGGCTGAGGCAGGAGAATCGCTTGAACTCAAGAGGTGGAGGTTGCAGTGAACCGAGAGCACGCCACTGCACTCCAGTCTGGGCAACAGAGCGATACTGTTTCAAAATAAATAATAATTTTATTCTCTATCCATTTGGTAGACAAGTGTAGCGTTACTGCCTTTTTGCAAATGATAAGGCTTTTAAGAGACAGATATCATCAGTTCTTCGAGAGCCCACAAAAACTGGGCTAGAGGACACAAAAACCTACACTCAAGACCCAAACAAGGAAGAGGGAAGGAGTCAAATCAAGTTGCATTTCCCCTACCCTCACCGCCCCCTTTCCTTCCCAAGGCAATAGCGTAGGGGACGCCCAGTAAGGTCCGGAAAAGGCGGAGACAGAGGTTTCGTTCCCGCCCCTCAAATTCAGTCTCCAAAAAGGTCCGCATAATTGACATATAAGGGGCTTCAGTGAGTAGCAAAGTTGCCGAGATAAGAGTTGGTGTTCATCTCCGATAATGTCTGGTAGAGGCAAAGGTGGTAAAGGTTTGGGAAAGGGAGGCGCCAAGCGCCACCGTAAAGTGTTGCGTGACAACATCCAGGGCATCACGAAACCTGCCATCCGTCGTTTGGCCCGACGCGGCGGCGTGAAACGCATCTCGGGCCTCATTTATGAGGAGACTCGAGGTGTGCTTAAGGTGTTTCTGGAGAATGTGATCCGGGATGCTGTAACCTACACGGAGCACGCCAAGCGTAAGACAGTCACCGCCATGGATGTGGTCTACGCGCTCAAGCGCCAGGGTCGCACTTTGTACGGCTTTGGTGGCTGAGCCTCACTCCGGCTTTATTTAACAGCTTACCCATAAAAGGCCCTTTTCAGGGCCACCTCCATCGTCACACGAAGGGCTGTAACTGATAACAGCGAAGATACAGGCGATTTGTGTTTCGTTTTGTAAACTTTATTGGGTTGTAGCTGAGTTGAAAGCCGTTTTCAGCGATACTCCCAAAATGGCGGATGTGTTAAGAACAAAAAGCGAAAGGACATTAGAAACTCAAACCTCCACGGAAAAAAATAGTGGAAATGATTCAGGAATACCAGCAATCTTTCGTGACGTATGGTGTTTTATTACTAGTTTTCTAAAATTTATTCCTATATTAGATGGCTACGACTTAACTACACTAAACATTACATTTTTTGAAACGGAGTTGCTCTTATCTAGGCTCCAGTGCAATGGGGCAATCTCTGCTCACCGCAACCACCCCCGGGTTTAAGTGATTTTCCTGCCAACCTCCAGGGTAGCAGGGATTACAGGCATGCACCACCACGGTCGGCTAATTTTGTATTTTTAGTACAGACTGGTTTTTTACGTGTTGGTCAGGCTGGTCTGGAACTCCCGACCTCAGGTGATCCGTCCGCCTTGGCCTCCCTAAAGTGCAGGGATTAGAGGCGTGAGTCACCGTGCCCGGCCTAAGTGTTATTTATTAGCCATAGAACCTGAATGATCTTAGGGCGGCTGTGGACAGATAAATTACTGGTAAACTTAAAAATCCATTACTTGTGTCCAGTCGCGGTGCCTCAGGCCTGCAATCACAGCACCTTGGGAGACAAAGGCGGGCGGATTACTAGAGCTCAGGGGTTCGAGACTAGGCTGGGCAAACAAAATGGTGAAATTCCGACTCCACTAAAAAATTTTAAATAGGAAAGTTAGCACGGCGTGGTGGCGGACGCCCGCGGTCGCAGCTAATCTGCAAGGGCTGAGGCAGGAGGAATCGTTTGAGCAGGGGAGGCGGAGATTTAAGTGAGCTGAGACGGCGCCGCTGCACTCCAGCCTGGGCAACAGAGATCATGTCTTTAAAAAAAAAAAAAAAAAAAGTTTGCCCGGGCTCGGTGGCTCATGTCTGTAATCCCATCTGTAATCCCAGCACTTTGGGAGGCCGAGGCGGGTGGATCACTTGAGCTCAAGGAGTTCGAGACCAGCCGGGCCAGCACTGCAAAACTCCATCTCTACTACAAATACAAAAATTAGCCAGACGGGGACGTGGTGGTGCGCGCCTCTGGTCCCAGCTACTCTGGAGGCTGAGGCAGGAGGATCGCTTGAACCTGGGAGACTGAGGTTGCATTGAGCCGACCACGTGCCACTGCACTCTAGGCTTAGAGCACAGAGCAAGGCTCTGTCTCAAAAAGAAAAAAAAAAAGCCTAAGTTTCTGTCTTATCCAGTGAATTCTTTGCTGGGGCACTTACTGTGATTTCAGGTCATTGATCTCAAGTACTGGTAATTTATAACCTAAAGTGTTTCTCCTTGTGCTTTGTCAACCTACCATGTTATCTCCTGTGATCCTGCCTCCTAACATTTTCATTTTTTCACCACACTGAAGAAGTGGCTTCTCATTTGTTTTTTTTGTTTTTCTGTTTTTTTGTCAACGGTCAATCTACTGTGTAAACACTATGTCATACTTTATAGGGATACAGAAAATTATGAAAATAATTATGGCAATTGCAGAAATGTTGTTTGACAACTCCTGCCCTCAGGTGATCCGCCCGCCTCAGCCTCCCAAAATGCTGGGATTACAGCCACGAGCCACCTCACCAGCCAGTAGCTAAACGAATTCTTATTGCCACACACTGTTTTTTACAGACAAAATAATAATACACTGGTAAAGCACACCGAAGGATTTTAAAACATTGCCTTTGAAACACCAATACATTCAGTGTATGTTCACTTATATTAAGCACTATACAATTAAACAATGAAGAATTGCCCAGAAAAAAATAATGTAAATTGCCAGAGGTTCCATGCCCTGTTCTTCTCATGTGGACAGAAGGTACAAGGGCTGACTGTCTTCTGGGGTTGGTACAACAGGAAACTCAGGGAAAACTGCCATAAACGTTAATACGAGAAAAAGGGAATTTGCGCACAAGCCAAAATACAGACTAAGCACCACTTTTTTCATCATACAAAATATTTGCTGAGCTAGTTAAATAAGAACATTTAAGTGGAAATAAATGATGTGTCTAAAATAGAATGTTCAAAATAATAGTGGATTTTTTATTGTGCAGTTAGGATGCACCAAACACACAGTCCTAAAGATCATGGGTGTTTGAAGCAGAGTCAGCAATATCTAAGAAATCAGGTACCTGCATAAATGAATTACGGCCTAATGAGCACGTCACCACAACAAAAAGTCAAGAGTGCAAACAACTATTTGTGGGGAAAACAAACAAACAAACTTGATAAACCATGGAATTCCAAGCAATAAAAGTAGCAATCCCATCACAGCCTATTTCTGCATTATTTTGAATAACTAGATTTTTTTTTTTTTTTTTTTTTTTTTTTCTTGAGGCGGAGTCTCACTCTGTCGCCCAGGCTGGAGTGCAGTGGCAGGATCTCGGCTCATTGCAACCTCCACCTACCAGGCTCAAGTGATTCTCCTGCCTCAGCCTCCCTAGTCGTTGGGATTACAGTGGCCTGCTACTATGTCCAGCTAATTTTGTATTTATAGTGGAGACAGGGTTTCGCCATGTTGGCTAGGCTGATTAAATAACTAGAATAACAAGAAATTGAGCTGGGCACAGTGGATTACGGTGCTGTAATCCCAGCACTTTGGGAGGCCAAGGCGGTCAGATCACCTAAGGTCAGGAGTTCCAGACCAACCATAGCCAACATGGCGAAACCCTTGTTTCCACTAAAACTACAAAATTAGCCGGGTGTGGTGGCACACACCTGTGATCTCAGCTACTCGGGAGGCTGAGGCAGGAGAATCGCTTGAACCTGGGAGGTGGAGGTTGCAGTGAGCCGGGATCCCGCATCGCGCCACCGCACTCCATCCTGGGTGACAAGAGCGAATCTGTCTCAAAAAAAAAAAAAAGGTTGCAGTAACATTTCCCTGAACCCAGTTTTCCCTGGGCATAGTGTAGACCTGCACCCTGGGGTTTTAATTGGAAGACTCCCGTGCCACGTAAAATTTGTATTATATTAACTTGTATCCGTTTCTCCTGTTGATGTCTCAAATGAACTCTCAGGGCAAGCCAAAAAAAAATAAGATAATGATTTAACTCCCTATGCTGTCACAAATAAAGTTTTCATACACTTTTGTCCACAAGTTGTTTCCTTTTTCCCTGTAGTTTTGGTTTTGCCTCAGCACACAGCCGTTTTCTGTTTTGAGTTTCGCTGTAACCCATGCTGGAGTGCAGTGGCGCGATCTCTACTTACTGCAACCTCTGCTTCCCGGATTCAAGCGATTCTCCTGCCTCAGCCCCCGGTATAGCTGGGACTGCAGGAGGGCGTCACCACGCCCGTAATTTTATTTTTTTGGTTTTGCACTTTTAGTGAAGACGGGGGTTTCACCGTGTTAGCCAGGCTAGTCTCGAATTCCTGACCTTTGTATAAGTTATTCGCCCGCCTCGGGCTACCACAGTGCTGGGATTACAGGCCTGAGCCGCCGCTGCGGGCCATTTTGAAGACAATGGCCAAGAGAAAAAAGGCTAGAAGAGCCACGGGTCCTCCCCCTCTATCCCCTAACCCACCACGCTCCTTGTTTCAGGAGACGTTACTCCCTAGTGCTACCGCGCTTTCAACTGAAACTGTTGGTGGCTCTGAAAAGAGCCTTTGGTTTAAGTTGGCACACACCCTTAGTACAACTTATGCCCTCTCTCCGCGAATGCGGCGAGCTAGCTGGATGTCCTTGGGCATGATAGTCACTCGCTTGGCGTGGATGGCACACAGGTTGGTGTCCTCAAAGAGCCCCACCAAGTAAGCCTCGCAGGCCTCCTGCAGCGCCATCACTGCCGAGCTCTGGAAGCGCAGGTCGGTCTTGAAGTCCTGCGCGATCTCACGTACCAGACGCTGGAATGGCAGCTTGCGAATCAGTAGCTCAGTCGATTTCTGATAGCGGCGTATTTCACGGAGGGCGACGGTGCCAGGCCGGTAGCGGTGGGGCTTCTTCACGCCACCGGTGGCCGGCGCGCTCTTGCGAGCCGCCTTAGTGGCCAGCTGCTTGCGTGGCGCTTTGCCGCCAGTGGACTTACGAGCCGTTTGCTTGGTGCGGGCCATAGGAATGGGTTTCAAGCAACGGTCACAACGGAACTAACAGTTGTTCTTACTCCTATTTATAAAAGCAAAGTCCTTCTGATTGGTCCGAATCTTCCAATTTCGCGCCCTGACTTGTGATCGGCTACTAGGTCTCATTTTAGAAAACCTTAACCTATCTAAATACTTTTTCTCCCCTAGTTCCTTACATTTTATTATGTTTTATGTACCTACCTGTATTATGTACCTTCATTGATTTTATTTTAATCACTTTGGGATTATGTTTGACAGACGGAAATGAACTTTCTGCAGTTCCGGAGCGATTTCGAAAATTCCGCGTTTGAAAGTGATTGGTGCAGCTCAATTTGTCCTTTATATTTTTTTTTTAATTCTTATTTTGAAGAAATATTTTTAATATAAGTACCCTATTCCTTATATTCTGAACCTTTCAACAAACACTGGTTTCACTTCCAGACACTCCGTTCCTAGGGGATATATTAAAATCCCATCGCCCTTGAAATGTGTTCATCCTTTGATTACCGAAAAAGCTTAAATTTTTTGTAAGAATGCTGACGACCTTGATCAGATTATAAAAGAAAGACGATGGTATAATTCTGGAAACACGTAAATCTTTAGGTAATTTCCATTTTAAAATTAGTTATTCATAGATAATTTTAAAACCGGAAGCTGCAATTTGGTAGGAAACTAGAAACATAATATCCGTCTTTGTTTCTGTTTAAATTCGCACCTAAGGAGACATAACTTATAGCTAGATGTTACTGACAAGGCATTAATTTTTCTAATGTTTTGAATGAAAAACTACGTTTTTTCCCCCGGGTGGTGTAGAAAAGGATTTAAGGTAGGTTTCGCATAAATATCCAATCGAAAAGTGACTTGAATTTAACTTTTTTATTGGCTGATTTGGTCCAATCAGGGATTGAGAATGATTAAGCACCTATTTGCATAAAAGACCTACAAAAACGGCCAGCTGTGCAGTTAAGCGTCCACTCTTGGGTGTATTCTTACTCCTTCATTTTGTTGCAATGCCTGATCCAGCTAAGTCCGCTCCCGCTCCAAAGAAGGGCTCCAAAAAGGCGGTAACCAAGGCGCAGAAGAAGGATGGAAAGAAGCGCAAGCGCAGCCGCAAGGAGAGCTACTCTGTGTACGTGTACAAGGTGCTGAAGCAGGTCCACCCTGACACCGGCATCTCCTCCAAAGCCATGGGGATCATGAATTCCTTCGTCAACGACATCTTCGAGCGCATCGCGAGTGAGGCTTCCCGCTTGGCGCATTACAACAAGCGTTCCACCATCACCTCCAGGGAGATTCAGACGGCGGTGCGCCTGCTGCTGCCTGGGGAGCTGGCCAAGCACGCCGTGTCCGAGGGCACTAAGGCCGTCACCAAGTACACCAGCTCCAAGTAAATGGACGCCTGTTCAAACCCAAAGGCTCTTTTCAGAGCCACTTAACAATTTCAATTAAGAGTTTTAATGCTGGGTGCTGCTGTATTCTACGGGAGAAGTGTGGCCAATACAGGTAAAATTCTACATTGCCAGTTTATCCTGTGCCTCTGTTAAACACTAAGATTTTAGAGCTTATTTGTCTTTATAAAGGTGGTGTGTAACTACATTGCCCAGGCTACTGGTGTTAAACTCAAGCAAGTTTTCCCACCTCAGCCTTGCCTTGTATTGCTGAGCAGATAATTTGACACAGCAGGAAAAGTGGACGTTCTAGTTTAGGAACCAAAAATTAAGTTTGCAACCTAGATGCAATCAGCTTGGAGCAGCACGTCCAGTCTGGAGCTGGTAAATTTGAGTATTCAAGATGACTTGAAAATACACTGAGCACCTATGATAGTGAACCCACTCTAGATAGCATAATGTGATCTTTGTGGGAGCCTCCTAGAATTTAATGTCAACTGGGATATTATAGTTTACCAAGTACCTGAGAAAAATTGAAATTTCTTGATAGATAAGGATTAGATGACAAACTATGAAAATGAAAAAAAATGCCATGGAATAAACCTTTAGTTATTCGGCAAGTAATATGAGGGGTTTTAGGTGTCTTTGAAAAAATTTAGATTTGTAAGACAAAGTAGAGCAGAGAATATAAATACTAAAAGGCCTGGCAACAATGTGTCTTTGTTTTTAGGTAATGTTGGTTGGCAGTCAGCAAAAAGGCCAGGCTCAGGGAGTCTTAACTTGAAAACGCTAACAGGAATCAGCAAAACCATGTACACAACTTCTGCTGTGGATTTTTTAAATACCAAGATTACCAACTGTAATGGTAGGGTAATACAGACTGAAACCTCTACATTCCTCCACCCTCATGGGCATTTCTCTTGAATCATAAAATGTAGGGGTAGCAGGAGGTAAGGGAAGAGTATTTTAAGAACCTAGGTCTGAGATGTACCTTCAATTTTTCTTCAAAATAGCTGGTGGATGGACTAGTACTTTGAATTTATTCATTTACTGAGAACCTATTAAATTACAGAAAATACTTAGGAAAGAGCAGTGAGAAAGATAGAAACTATCCCTGTCCTTTACCTGGATTGAAATCTAAAGTGGATATTTATACAATAAACTCACAAACTAAAGAAAGAAACGTAAGTCTGAAGGTCATGTTTTTCTTTTAACGGCTTTTGATGGGACTGAATTTAAATTGGCAAAAGCTGAATTAACATAATCTTGAAAACTTGCAAGTTCCTGGAGGCAGTTCTGGATGGAGGGTGGAGCAAAAGAGATGGCAGAAGAAGAGCCAGCAGCATGGAATTCAAAAGTAGATATTCTTGCCTCCTCCCTAGTGGCCAGGGAGGAGGGATGGGGAGAGAGCAAGAGAGCCATGACAGAGGAAGGGAGAGAGCACAGAGTTCAAGTCTATATTGATGGAACTATGGTTACAAATAGGGGCTACCCATTTATATTCTCATCTGGCCATGTCTCATCAGTGGTTTACAAGGATTTCATAGAATTGCTTTACTAAAATGTATGACCTCACTGAAATATAGAATACTATAAGACAGCAAATATTGTATATTTATGCAAATAATTTTTTAATAAAAGGTTTTTTTAATGTCCACCTGTGTGAGTTAGTATATGATACCTCTGGAAGTAACAACTTAAAATAGTTACTAGTTAATGAAAATGAAAGTCTACTTTTCCCTCACACAAACCTAATACAGCTCAGACATGGGAGTTCCGGTTTCCCTCACGCCTGTAATCCCAGCACTTTGGGAGGCAGAGGCAGGCGGAGCACGAGGCCAGGAGACCTTGCTGGCTACCACAGTAAAACGCTGTCTCTACTAAAACTACAAACAATTAGCTGGGCGTGGTGGCTGGCGCCTGTAGTCCCAGCTACTCGGGAGGCCAAGGCAGGAGAATGACGTGAACCCCGGAGATGGAGCTTGCAGTGAGCCGAGAGCTCACTACTGCACTCCAGCCTGGGCTACAGAGAGAGACTCCATCTCAAAAAAAAAAAAAATTATCTCTCTCTCTCTCTCTATATATATATCTCATACATACATATATACATAAAATGTGTTTGTCCTCTATATATAAATGTAACGTGTTTCTTATTATTTGAAATACTCTCGAATATATTCTGCTATTGAATTCTCCTGTGGAGTACCAACCCAACAAATAGGACAGATGAAATTCATAGGAAGTGTTAAGTATTACCTATACAAGAAGTCTGTGAAATGTAGACAAAAATCAAAGCCTATATTCTTAATCAATCATAAATGAGTAGCCTGTGAGACGTGTTAGACATAGAGAAAGTCAGCAGGGCTTGTGTGTGTGCTACTCAAGAGACAGGAATAGATGAAAGAACCAAAAACCTTTGGATATTTGTGAGACACCACATATTTATAAAGTACTCAATATTTATGGGGTCATAAATTGACCGCCCACTGTTAACACCAGTTTTGGCTGGCCTCATTGGCCCTCTGCAGAGAGCATGCATATAAAAGGCATGGCTGGTCAGCATACCACTATTGAGCAATATAGGTGGCTGTATACCAATAGAGCAAGCGTGTGTTGGCTCCACATAATTTGCATCTGCTGACTCCTTTGCTTATCATGAACTCTGTTTCTCAAAATCACCCTCTCAGTGGGCAAAATATGCAAGAGGGAGAGAGAAACCTCACACATATGACATGCATAACCAAGGATTCAGGTAGTGAGACTGCCATTTACAACCTATCTGAAATGTGTTCACTTGCCAAAGCTCTTTCTGCTTGCTTCTTGCTACATGTTTCAAATTGATTCAATAAAATTAAGCCATGGAGCTCAGGAAACTTACATTGGGCTATGAGACTTTCTATTCACAGCCTCAGGAACAGCCTGCCTGGTAGTGTATTTGGAGGCTATCATTGCATTAAAGTAGTTCTCTGCATGACATTGTAATTTTGTCTTTCTGAATATATCACTGTTCCAGCTCCAGCTATCATATTTACATTTAATCCTGAAGGAAGGGAAGGCCTGTGCAGTGGCTCACGCCTGTAATCCCAGCACTTTGGGAGGCTGAGGCGGGCGGATCACCTGTCAGGACCTGGAGACCCGCCTTGGCCAACATGATGAAACCCCATCTCTACTAAAAATACAAAAATTAGCTGGGCATGATGGCCTGCACCAATTATCCCAGCTACTTGGGAAGCTGAGGCAGGAGAATCACTTGAACCTGGGAGGTGCAGGTTGCAGTGAGCCAAGATTGCACCGCTGCACTCCAGCCTGGGTGACAGAGTGAGAGACCCTGTCTAAAAAAAAAAAAAAAAAAAAGTAAATGTTGGCAAGAATTACTTCAGTTAGGAAGATAAGAAAACAATGCATCTCTAACTAGAATCAAATGTTCATTTTAACATGAACAGACGGCACTAACTTCAAATGTAGCTGTTTGCAATCAGCATAGGACTTGGTAAATCAGAAAAACACCTTGAAAAATGAAGTCAGGGCTACATGGTCAGACTCAATGCCTAAAGTGAATGAGATTGGGCTGAGTTTGAAGTCCAATGGTACTCTGCTTTTTTGTTTTGTTTTTTGAGACGCGGTCTCACTCTGTCACTCAGGCTGGAGTACAGTGGTGTGATCACAGCTCACTGCGGCTTCAACATCTCTGGACTCAGGTGATCCCACCTCAGCCTCCCAAGTAGCTAGGACCGCAGGCACACACCTACATGCCCAGCACATTTTAAAATATTTTTTGTAGAGATGGTGTTTTGCCATGTTGCCCAGGCTGGTCTCAAACTCTCAGGCTCAAGTGATCCACCTGCCTTGGCCTTCCAAACTGCTAGGATTACAGGCATGAGCTACTGTGTCTGGCTATGCTATTACAAATATCCATTCTAGTCAGCAATCAGGTACAGAAGAAGCTCCAATGCTACCTGCCTTAGTCCTGTGCTCTATCTTCCCGGATTTTCTCATCTCAGCATTGGAGACATACCTATTGGTGTCAATGTTCTTTATGCATTGACTCCCCCGACCCCCACCAATATGATTCAACCTTGCCTTTCGCTTGCTTTATTTATTTATTTATTTATTTATTTATTTATTCTTAGACGGACTTCCACTCTTGTTGCCCAGGCTGGAGTGCAATGGCATGATGTTGGCTCACTGAAACCTCTGCCTCCAGGGTTCAAGTGATTATCCTGCCTCAGCCTCCCGAGTAGCTGGGATTACAGGCGTGCACCACCACACCCGGCTAATTTTGCATTTTTAGTAGAGACGAGGTTTCTCCATGTTGATCAGGATGGTCTCAAACTCCCGATCTCAGGTGATTTGCCTGTCTCGGCCTCCCAAAGTCCTGGGATTAAAGGCGTGAGCTACCATGCCTGGCCACCTTTTGCTTTAAATCCTCAGCTTTCTCATTTCAAGGTAGTCTGCCTTGTTCCTCAAAGCCTTTCACATCTGAAATGCCCACATTACTTGAATCAAACCACAAAGGTGAACCACACATGGTCCTTATTATCTAGGACAGGAAACATTGTCCCATGGAGAAAATAATGTATACAACTTATCAAACAAAAATAACCAAAAGAGTCAGAATATATTTTTATTGTTTTTGTTTAAGCCCTTCTTCTTGCACCATGAAGAATATAAAGAATTTATTCAAGCACAAAACATAAGGATGGACCACCTGGAAACACCAAATCCAAAGTAATAGAGATATAATTCTGAAATAGGGAAGTTCAGATTTCATTTATATAGGCAGATTTAGAGGAGCTTATAGCAAGGCTCTGCACAACTTCGGGAGAATAGCTGAAGGCAGCTGTTAACCTTGAGGCAGAGAGTGAGGAGTATGTGCAAGGGAGCAAGGGGAAATTATCTTGATCAGGCTTGTTTGTTTGAAGTTATCGGGAAATTCACCTTTGAACATCCATGTGTGTGACATTCCCTGAAAGGGGAACAATAAATGTTAATTACCCACAGACTGTGTTTGCCCCAGGCTTTCAGCATTCTGCCTGCACTGAATAAAAGCAAGCAGCTCCAGCTTCTCGGGGCTGCACTTTGGCCACTTGAGCCAGGTGACTCCTAGCTGCTCTTACACACTGCATACCTGTGTGTGAGTACTCTTTCCATCCGTCAGTCAGTCAGTCAGTCAGTCAGGGTCTGCGGGACAGATCTGGCAGGTGGTCCCCAGTGTGAGGAACACTGCAACGGATCTGGACCGAACCCTCGAAAATTAATGTGAAGTGACTGCTCAGTAAGTAATTGGTCCCCGCTGGGGATTTCCAAGTTCAAGGGGATTCTCAAGCTAGGGTTTCATCATGGGACAACAGTTATCAGCTCAACAGCAACAGTATGTAAAAGTATTGAAACAGCTGCTTAAAGCTAGCAGAACCTTGGTTTCGGAGGCTCAATTAAGGGATGTAATGCAAACTGTTGTATTCCATAGCCCATGATTCCCAGAAGAAGGCACACTAGACCTAGGGCTCTGGAAGCAATTGGGAAGAAATCTTAAACAACATCAGGTACAAGGGCAACAGGTCCCAGTAACATCTTTAATGTTATGGGCCTTGGTTAGGGCTGCTTTGGTCCTGCTCTACACAGAAGAGCCTAAAAAAGAAGGGGAGGAAGAACCATCAT